TTTTTTTTTTTTTTTTATAAAGCAAAGACAAACCAGACAAACCAGGAACCAGGCCAATGGGCTTTGTTTCCTCTTTTGAAATAAGTTTCCTAGCAAAATCTGCATACCCTCCACTCTTAATCTCGGGTATTTAATTTGAACATTCAGGAATTTCCAGGCCTTGGAATCTTAGAAAATTGCTCTTGAGCTCTGATTTGTCGTCACTCAAGACAACTGGTTTTAAAGGCTAGTATAACAGAGTGTCAGCATATTTACAACGCAGTGAAACAATCTCTGCTGCTTCCAGGATGAACAAGAAAGAGATCCGGTCTCCAGGACCCACTGGAGGGAGCAAGGCAGTCCCCTCTCCAAGCGTGAGCGCTCCCTTCACCATTCTGGGTAGCCTCAGATTTAGGGCCTGGTTTTCAGAAAAACTCCTTTGGAATATTTTCTTGCGGGATTGGTGGGTTCTTAGGGAAATGGGAGCCAGAGCAGCTGGAAGTTAGAATACAAGGAAAATAGGCTCCTCATGTCACTTGCTTTCAGGGCCCTCAATAAAAAACATTACTTACATGTAACTTAATAGTTTTCATCAGCTGCATGAGAGGAAGCAAAGCCCTCTGAAACACAGACCATTGCCCCTGTCTAAATATTTGTCCCTTGAAGGAAAAGGAGCCCCCAGAGTTCCGCTGAGCACATGGCCTTTCAGGGCGGACTGGATTTGGCCACTCCCTGGAGGTAGATGTGGCCATCTGACTGAAGACTCACTAGTGGGACACGGACAGAGGCGCTGTGTGCAGCACAGTGTGGCCTCTTCTCCCTTCTTCCTCTCCTCCTCGCTGGCTGGAATATACACATTGGAAACTGTGGCTTCCTTCTTGGATTGTGATAGCCAAAACGGTAAAAGCAGCCTGGTTTCCTGACTGTGAAGCCACCACACTTGCCCTGGACTGCCCTTGTTCACGTGAGAGAAATGCTTCTGTATCTTACTGAAGCCACTGTTAGAGTTTCTACCACTGTCTGACATAACCTCAGCTAGTGCATCAGTTTAGGATTGCTCTCTGCTCGAGCTGCTTTCTGACAGTAGAAGGCTGCTTCTCGGGAATACTCCCTCTCCTGAGCTTGCTGCATTTGGGCTTGCTGAGAGACTGGGGTTAAGATGCCAGGGCTCTGCCTTCGACAGAGTGGCCCTGGGTGCAGGGTGCTCCTCCCGGAACAGGCGCAGGTGTTGGACTTAGAATCACAGTGGGGATTTTTACCCAGGGTGCTGTTGGGCTTCTGTCTAGATGCCCCCGAATGCCTCTTGTGTTCACAGCTGGGGCTTCAGGGGTGACTGGATCAGGGGTGTGGCCCTGGATTAGTCCATTGAGGGTTTAGAGCTGAGTGTGAGGACGGGAGGGAAGCCATGGGTCACAGGGTGGCCTGAAATAATGTGTCTCTCTCCTCCGTGTCATCCTGGCGGCCTCTTGACTGCCTGTCCTCTGCCATGGAAGCGGGTGATCATGGACTGAACCCTCTGCAAACTGAGAGCCAAAATAAACCTCTGCCTCCTATAACTTCTGTGTGTCAACCGTTTTGTCCCAGCAGAGAGAAGGTAACTAAGACAGGAACATTTACAGCACTGCTGTGCCCAGACTTTATTCCCTCTTCAGTGGCCTCAGTCTTCAGTGTGCCCCAGCGTTACCTGGGAGCTTTCATCATGTTTTAAACTTATCGGTACTCATTTGTTACGCATATTGGTTACCCACGTCACATCTCAATTCCTTTCCAGTCTCCTCCCTTCCCTTCAATTCTTCTTCTCCTCCCTATTTACAAAAACCTGGTTTCCACTTTTTCTTCCATTCTCTTTTTTCTTTTTTCTCTCCTTTCCTTCTTTGAACAAGTTCTTCCTACTTCCCAGTAACTGTCCTTCATTTTGCTCCTTATTTACGCTTTGGGTTTCTCATATCAGAGGAGCAATGTGATATTTAAACTTGCGTGTCTGATTTATTTTTTAAGATTTTTCTACAAATAATTCAAGTTTATCATTCATTCTTTATGGCAGAGCAGTACTCTGTTGTACATAAATGCCACATTTCTTTGTCTCTTCATCTGTGATGGGCACATTTACCCGGGAGCTTTTAAAAAGCACTGAGGTACAGGTTTACTGATTCAATTCCTGAAAGCGAGCTTCCAAATTTTTTTTTTTAAAGGTGATTTTTCCCCAGATAATTCTACTGTGCAGCCAGAGCTGAGAAACATCTATCCAAATTAATGCCCTCCCACTATGCCCAGTAGAATTAAAATAAACATAAAAAGAAAAATATAGGCTCAGAGAGGCCTCTGTTATGATCAGTGGTTAGGTGGATCTCACCCAAGAAAACATGTCATTTGTTTGCAGCTGTGAAAGGCTTGAGGTCACAGAAGTATTGAGCAAAATAATCCTAGAACTTTTCAAATGATCTAGACATGGTTAGCAACCTCTTTTTGCATTTATAATTTTAAAAATTCAAAATAAAAACCTTACTGACTCTAACAGACGAAAAGGTATATTTTCTCATTGCTGGGATCAACTACCTACCATTGCAAGCTTATAAAAATGGGGAAGTGGATCATATTTCTGTGTCACAGACAAAGCAGCTAAGTTCAGAGAGATGACGCTGCTCAGTTCGGGCCGCTCGGACTAGGACTGGTTCATGCCATGTGGTACAGCTTCCCCGAGCTCTCGCTGCCCCCGCATGCTGGCAAAGAAACCCAGCTCAGTTCTCTGCCCTGTGCTTGGCAGCTCTTCTCAGGGTACAGAGCCCATGGGCTCCCCTGGCCAGAGCTTCAGCAGAGGCCTGGGCCTGCTGACATGGGGTCGCTCCTCCCTGGCGGGAGCTGCTGTGAGATGCAAGTCTTGGCCTCTCCCTCTGGGGCCCTTACCCTCTACCAGTCCAGGATCTAGGTCAGGACCTGCATTTGAAAATAGTTGAGCTACACTGCTGACCTTAGAAGCTTGTTCTCCCTAAAAACTTTGGTTTCTAAACTGACCAGCTACATTTGAACACAGTGCCTAGCTATGTACTATGGTGGTTTACAGAGAATGTGTTGCTTGTCACAGATCCAAACAGTAACTTCCAACAGCTTTTCTAGTGTCTTTTGTCCTTGATTAAGTAAAAAAAAAAAAATCCATGTGGCCTCAGACCTTTGGCGTCTTGTGGCTCACTTCAGTGACTCCTTGGAGTTTCTATTACTAGAGAAGCAAATTTTTCTTTTAGTTCTTACTTAGATATAATTCAATAAAATAGCAAAGAATTTCACTTTAATTCACTTTGTACACACATGAAAATGCCTTCTGTTAATGTAAATCTTTGACAAATAATTGTAGCATTGATTTAAAGTTGGTTCTTAGGAGAAATTTGAATTAGTGGCTAAAAATTTCACTTATTTAGAATAACCTTTCCTGCAGCTAGGGACAGTTAAGGTTTTAAATTTAGTTTTACAGTCTTTTGCTTGACTTCTTAGGTTCGAACTTCTTTTAGCTTTGTTAAATTCTCCCTTCTAGCCAATCAGTTATGTTATAATCACGTTACTACCTTATATTGTTCCGTCTTCAGAATTCTTTTAAAACTAGACAACTAGCCATGAGGATTTCGGACAGTTAAAGATTTGCCAAACGGGGGATTGTGTTCTCTGCATTTTCCATTCTGTGAATTACTACAGTTTTTCCATGAATTTAATATAACTTTTGAAGCCATAATTATCTGAAAGAAATAACTTTATGGTGACAAATCAAAAAATTCAGTTTTAAGCTGTGACGTCTCTGCTATGCCCACTTAAAAAGTAAGTAGCTTTCTTGACTTAAACATATCTGAAATGCAGCTCTTAGCACAGTTCCTCTGACCTCAGCCCAGTTGTTCCTTCCTTGCTATTCCTCAGTTGCCTAATGGAACCATGTTTGAGATACAAGCTTAGGCAGCACCCTCGAGTTTCCACCCTTCCCCTGGAGCCCAGCTCACAAGCAAGTGCTAGATTTGTCTCCACAACAAAGGACTATCCCTCCACAATGAACAGCAAACCAGAATGCCCCTCTCTCTTCCCACACTGCTGCCAAGCTTCCCAATTTCCCAGTGCTATGATCTGAATGTTTGTGACATCTGTCTGGTCACCGTGCATGTAATATTGAAATCCTAACTTGCACAATGGTGACATTAGGAGGC